TCCTGGTTGCCGTCGAGCAGCTGCGCGACCTCGCGGCGCATCTGGCGCACCTGCACCTCCTTCTTGTTCCGCAGCAGCTTGATCCGCGCCATGGCCATCTTGAGGGCAATCTTGCTGAGACGCCACAAAAACAAAAACAAAAGCAAAAGCAAGCGTTCAATCTCGCACCCACGGAAACCAACGGAGAAGGAAGAAGAAGCAGGAACCGGCGAGCAGAGGCGATCTGGACTGACCACTTGTCGGGCTTGAAGCCCTTGCTGAGGACGCCCGACAGCTTCCCCTTGCTCCTGTGCATCTTCCCCGCGCGCGGCAGCACCCCGGCTAGATTCCAACGGGATCGAATCGAATCGGCTCCGTCGGGAGGCGGCGGGGCTGCTTTAGAAGGAGTATTATAGAAGATGCTTCCTCTGCGCGTTGGTGAGGTAGATTGGAAAGGGGACTACCGCGGCGGATGCGTGTGCTACCGCCAAGGGGAAGGGGAGGAGACTTTGTTGGTAGGAAACGGAACCGTTTTTTTGCGGGTGGGATTTCCGTGACGCGTGAGCGGAGGGGCACCGGCGCCTTCTTCAACGCTTCCGTTTGTCGATTCGCGTGCGGGAGGGGAGGGGAAGGAAGGGGAGGGGGATTGACCTTGACCGCCGCCGAACCGCGTGGCCGTGGTGGTGGGATTTCCGTTGGGTTTGGCGGGGATCTTCGGATGCTGGCACCTGGCGATATGCCATAAACAAAACGCACTTGCAATTTTTGTTCTTCCACTTCATTTGAACCATCACGTTTTTCTTATACAAGAGCATCTACAATCTTTTTTTAAAAAAAAAGAGCATCTACAATCGGGCGCCTTAAACCTGCCTCATACATCCGGGCAGTCCACCCGGTCACTGACCGGTCACGATGTTTCGACCCTGATGGGCTTCTTAGATGGGCCTCAAACGCTCGGGCTGATCGGTACCTCTCATATCCAATTCAAATATGGGGCGGATATGGGGCCGTCCGGGCGTGCCCCCCACATCGGACCAGACAGCCCGCCCCCACCGCATATTGCACCAAATCCACCAAACCCTTCCTCCTCCTACCGTCGCCCTCCAACCTTTCTCATGCCCAGACCCTCGTCGTCCTTCATCCTTGCTCTCAATCTCCACCACCAGTCCTGGTCCATCGTCGGGCATGTCTTCCAACCCGACCCAGACCGCCATGACGGAGACGCAGTCCGCCTCGTCCGTCGGCGGGGTCCCTTCATCGGTTGCGACTTGCAAGGCAGAGAACGTCAACCGAAAGTTGCGGCGACGCCGACAACGAGAGAGGGAGGCGGCGACGGCATCTTAGGGAGGTTCGGACATGGTGGAGAAGAAGCCCTTTGCTTTTAGCCATTGTTGGATCATATTGAATGGCAAGTCCGACAAGAAGAGGAATGATGGCTCAAGCTCCAACCAATCAATTGGGTTGAACGATGTTATCGTGACGAATGGAAAAGCCATCGTGCCAAAGGATAACCACCAAGTCATGGGAAACAAGTGGGAGAAGGCACGTGCCTCTCGTGACGCCGCGGCTACAAAAATGTCATCCACATGAACGGGCAATTTTTCAGCGAGGGAGAACAAGAAGGAGGAGAGAGACAAGATCATGTTGGACGCGCAAAAAAAAGGGTGGAGTGGGACCGAAAGAGGGCGGAGAAGAAGCTCGAAATTGGGAGGGAGAAGATCGAGTTGGAGAAGCAACAAGAGGTGATCAAATGGGAACTTGTCAAGGCCAAGACATTTGGCGACATAGAGCTTGAGAAGGAGAGGTTGTAACTCGCACGAGACATAAAGGATGCAAGTATCATGTTGGCGGACGAAACCCTCTTGGATGAGCATGCAAAGAAGTGGCTTGCGGACAAGAAGAAGGAGATATATGAACGAAGAGAGTACAAGGCAGCGAGGGTGGCTGCGCCCCGGATGCAGGCGGAGGAGGCAGCCCGGATGCAGGCGGAGCTGGCAACCCGGATGTAGGACGAGCAGGACGCATTCCGCCTGGAGCACGACGCATTCCTCTCGAAGCAGGCGCCCGGCCAATGATCCAAAACCATCCGTCACGCTCAAACATTGATTTCATTTTGGCATGTCTGGTTGATTGAACTATGATTTGCTTTGCTTTGTTTCAAACTTTTGAATTCGAACAATTTGTATCGTATGATCGACATGTATGGATTTGATGATCAGAATTTGAGGTATGTGGATGTGCGGTGCAACATATGAGGGGCTGGCGGACGCTGTCTGTGGATGCGCCCGCGGTCGTATAGGGGCCGGATTTGCCAAGTCTGGTTGTAGATGCTCTAAAGCCACACTACAGGCGTGGTGGGCCATTTTATGTTGATGGATGCTTGAATGAGTAGATTATTCTTGAAAAGGTTTTTTTTCCTTTTTGGAAATGGAGACTACCTTCCCATAATCTGCACATTGGAATGCAGAGAGCCATAAATTTACTGAATATGAAATTACCCATAGGCATCAAGGTCAAGCACATCAACATACAAAAAAACTACATCCGTTTCAAAATAATTGAAGTTCTGGATTTGTCCTGAGTCAAATTTGTGTAAGTTTGATCAAATATATAGAAAGTTACAATAACATCTAGAACACCAAATTGGTCTGTGAGATTCTTTATGAAATATATTTTTATATTCAGTTTTTTTCTGTAGAGTTGGTCATAAGCAAGTTTGACTTATGATAAACCTAGAATTTTAGTTGTTTTAGAATGGAGGGAGTAACATAAAAGGACCCTGAGAGATGGCTTTGCGACATTCATCTTCTCCATTGTCAATCAAAACACCCACCTCTCGAAACAAACCATCAATTCCCATCACTAACTAGCCTTGCAAATGTCATGTTTCCTACCCGTTCATGATGTTGAGAAAAGCCATGTGCCCATTCAAGACAGAGATTTGGCACGTGTTGTCATCACACATTCGGTTGTTGATGCATCATCACCAATTCTCATTGCACAGGGAGATAGGGTCACATTCAACCTTTGGACTCATACTTGTTTGGTCCAGCACCCAAGAATGGATGCCTCTACATCTTGCCCTCGGACACGCTAGTCGCACCATCCTCCTCTAGGGTGCCAGGATGTAGCGACCCGACCCGGTAAGGGTCGAAGTCTTTGTGCTTACCGTGCTAGTCCCTGAATTGACTTGCTAGCACACACAGTATTCGTTGAATTGACAGAAATAACACCCATCTTTTTATTGCATCAATAGTTGAGGAGCAATACAATTTATTGCAAATATATGGCATAAGGCAAAATAAAACAAATATTGCGGAAGCATAGAAGTAAATGAGTCCATCAACTCCACGAGCAAAAGCTAAGTGTAGCACATCGACCTATCACACCTTAATCCTCGTCGGATATATCTGCAACGTGATAAGTTACAGCCATATAGGTCGGTATATTGAATGTACTGGCAAGTCACATCATAAAGAGTATAATAATCCTACTTGTACATGCAATTTAGTTGGTGAAAAGCTCTAAGTTTTGCATAAAGCTATTTTTTTCCTATTATAAAAGGTATTATTCTACCACTACAAAATAGAATATGATTGAGATGGTACCCCCATCACAATCTATTCCCAAAGTTTAATTAAGCCCAAATGATTAAGTTAAGGGTCATCAGATCTCCCAACATTTCCAATACTAAAACCTCAAATTGTCCATTAATGGAGACACGGCTAATCAATTAGATTTAACACTTTGCAAAGATTGCGCACTTTTCCCCACAAGACTCGACCACCTTCGGAAGATCGATACATAGTCTTTCGAAAGTATTCCCCCTTAACCCACGGATAGGCCGGTACACCTACATATTCTACATCTGCTAGCCTATCTCGGAAGAGGTCACACTAACTACTCAACTAAGCCAGAGCCCATAATGTTGGGTAACGAAGCATGAAAATCAAAAAATTCCAATGAACACCCAGATCTATCTATGAGAAGCATATCAACGAGAGAGGAGAGTGTGTCTACGTACCCTCGTAGACCGAAAGCGGAAGCGTATATAACACGGTTGATGTAGACGTACTCTTCGTGATCCGATCACGATCCAACCGATCTAGTGTCGAACGAACGACACCTCCGAGTTTAGTACACGTGCGGCTCGATGATGTCTCCTCCTCCTTGATCCAGCAAGAAAGGGCGGAGAAGTTGATGGGATCACAATCAGCACGATGGCGTGGTCGTGATTGTGGTGGTGGAGTCAGAATACCAGCAAGGCTTCACTAAGCGAAAAAATGTGGACGAGAACTATGCCGGGAGGGAGAGATGGGGCAGCAGCCAAGGCCAATGTATTGGGGCGCCTTACTGCGCCACCTCCTCTATATTTATATGTGTGGGAGGGCTGGGAGTCCATCCCTACTCCTAATAGGAGTTGGCACCAAGGGGGAGAGGACTTGGACTCCAAGTCCAATCATATTCTAGGACTCCCCTTTTTCCCTTCCCTAGTCGCATGGGCTTTTGAGGACTTGGTGCGCTTGGCCCAATAAGGCCAGGGCGCCTCCCCTCAGCCCATGTCAGCCCTTGGGACATGCTGGACCCACTTGTGGACTTCCGAATTGTTGGGGAACGCAGTATTTCAAAAAATTTACCTATGATCACGCAAGATCTGTCTAGGAGATGCATAGCAATGAAGGGAGAGTGTGTCCACGTACCCTCATAGACCAAAAGCCGAAGCGTTTAGTAACGCGGTTGATGTAGTCAAACGTCTTCGCAATTCAACCGATCCAAGCACCGAACGTACGGCACCTCCATGTTCAGCACACGTTCAGCTCGATGACGTCCCTCGAGCTCTTGATCCAGTTGAGGACGAGGGAGAGTTTCCTCAGCACGTCGGCGTGTGTGACGGTGATGATGAAGTTACCGGTGCAAGGCTTCGCCTAAGCACTACAACGATATGACCGAGGTGTGTAACTGTGGAGGGGGGCACCGCACATGGCTAAGAGAAGACTTGGTGTGCCTTTCGGGTGCCCCCTCCCACGTATATAAAGGGGGGAGGAGAGGAGGTCGGCCCAAGGAGGGCGCCAAAGGGGGGGTCCTACTTGGACTCCCGGCCTAAGTAGGATTCGCCCCC